CAAGGGGTTGTAGCATAAAACAAGAAGAAACACTCTAGGTAAATTTAAATCTGTCGGGGAATCTTTTGTAAGACGTGAGCTCCACGGCCAGCACTTTGAACATAGATAGATAGATTGATAGATATAGAGGTATGCACTGCGCAAAAGAGATCTTTTGTGCCCTCAACTATTCAGGGTATCTCAGCCAACTCTAGAGATCCCAGAAATTTGAGAAGATCTCCAAGGGTTAGCGATTGTATAAGTTCTTCCCTTGGCCAAAGTTGGCATAGGTACCTTTCCCGGCTTCTCAAAACCGCCTCGCACTCGTGAGCAGGAGCTTGATGAAGATTAGTACAACTTTTTTTAAGTTGGCTTAGAGTTTAAAACTTAGATGTATGTATACTGGTCCTAAAGTATAACGAAAGCCTATATAACGAACGCTCCAAATAACGAATGCCTTTTTTAAATGCATTGATTACTCGAAATAACGAACGGTTGAAAAAGGAGTATTCTATATAACGAACGCTTGTTTACTTTGTATGCTTGAATTACATGATTTTGCAAGATTATGACGTACGTGGAATTACCATCAGTTCAAAAGGACAACTTCTTACAAGTGGTCGCGTTTATTGAACTTGACAAATACCTCCGTCGGGTTATTTATAAGGTAAAAAAAATTAAATAAAAAAACACATTAAGGGAAATTGGAATATGGGGATTATATGTAATATATAGACCGATTTTATTGAATTTTCATAATAAAATTTTAGTTCGATATAACATATTTTTAGAAATAGCGTATACTGAACGACCACTGTATGGTTTAGGTTATAGCATTCACCCTCCGATGAGTGACAGTGCCGATGACGTTAGATTCGTGAGAAGGTCCTTAGGGACCTACAAAGAGTTGCTCGATGTTTCGACTGTACATGTGCAACTTCTTTGGTATTTATGTTGTCTTTTGATTAAATTAACGTCCTGCATATATATTAGGAATGAAATAATTTGAAGAACAAGTGAAAAAAATCAAAACATGAAGACAAGTAACTTGTTATTTCTTCTAAAATTGTACAAGGTCCCTAGGGACCTTGTCACTAATCCCCGTACTATATATGTTGAAATCTCAA